TACCGTCTACAAGACAAGTCAGCAATGTGATGCAACTCTCTACACTTGCCTACACCAAATTCAAGAAGGCAGATCACCAAACTTCTCCAGGACAACTAGAGAGTAATAAACACTGGCCTAGCCAGCAACTCCCACATCTCATGAACAAAAAAAAAATACTGATTTTAGTTTGGGAAAAGGGAATATGGGGTTAATTGGCTCTACATTTTTCAACCAGCAAAACAGACATCTCTTTTCAAAGTCTTTCGGGAAGGTCAAGAAATGCCTGTGCAACCTCTCCATGTTAACTGTGAGCACATTATAGAAAAGACAAAACATACTGGATTACAGATACTGAATTAAGCAAGAGGATGAGAATTCTAAATATAGAATACATTGTTTCAAGTTTGAAAAGCACAGGATTTAGGTTACATGCACATCATAACAAGTGCTGAATTCACACCTGATACATTGTAACGGCAGAAAGTTAGTACCGAATATACTTTCATGAGTCCTTAGTTCATACCCAACTTCAACTTAATAGTAACAGTATGCTTACTGGTACTCATCATTGTTACAAATTAAATCTGATAGAAATTTCTGGTATTTGCATAAACCAAGTTAAATGAAGAAATCCAGAATTTCTGTCAGAGAAGTTCCGCTACACCAAAAATGGGGGCATGGAGGCACAGACAGACAGATGCATGAAATTGAGGGTACCTACCCAATGCACTAAAAAGGACTGGAAATGTTAGGACTGTTACGTTTAGGGGTAAATTAATTTTAAACAGTCGTGACTGGCCCTTAAAGTAAATATAAATGTGGATACTTATCCCTCAAAAAAAAATCCCTCAAAAAAAAAGGTATGCTGCCAGTTTTTGAAAAAAAATTTTGTCTGTCTCTTCTAGCACATTCCCTTAACATTTCTATTTCCCATTTTGCCTTCCGAACGTAACTTAAATGATGTTTATGTTCTGTTTTTTTTCTGCCTAGTTGTGGTTAGTTAGAAGTTCTTCAATCAGAGCGAACAGTCTTAATGTTGTCTTGCCCCATTCACGGGCACCAGAGTCCTTGCACCAAGACATATGCCAGATTAATAGAATGATTGTCAAAAAGCTGCAAAATCTTTGCAAGAAAGTGAATAGTGAAAGCCTTTTCTAGAAAATGAGAGGACAGAGTTTTAGGATAAGAGGTAGCAGACTTAAAACAGAGATGAAAAGAAATTACTTCTCGCAAAGTACCACGAACCTGGGGAACTCACTATCCCACAGTGGAAGCCAGAACACTGAGTAAATTTGAGGAGTTAGTCAGATTTTTAACTAGTAATGGTTTAAAGGGTTACAGAGAACAGAGAGGCAAATGGAGATGATATCAGCATGATTGAATCAAATGAAGGAGCAGGCTCAAAAAAGGGCCAAATTGCCTACTTTTGCTCCATGTTCTTATGTTTTTCACCATGATGAGAGACAAGAACTTGGGCGTTTTTTTTAAACTTCAGAGCAACATCCATCACTGCTCACTTCTCTGCATTAAATTTAATATTTCGTGGCTCTTCCTGTACACTGATCTGTTTACCCTTCTAAAATATAATCCTCACTCACTGTTTGCACATTACAGGAAATTTGAAGATGTTGTAATGTGCCTTGTTCACCCAAATCCTGGTCATTAATACATTACAGACCAGTATTCCTAATATTAATCCTCGAGGAACATTCCTGTTTATCTCCCTCAAAATAACCATTAGCCATCACTTTTAGTCAAATTTTGTAATCATACTACTTTTAGCTTCTTATAGAAGCTTTAAGATTTTGCTAATAAGATTGTATGGCACTTTCGTGAAACACATTTTGGAAGTTTATATACACAGGCGCGCGCACACACACACACACACACACACACAAACCACTGCAAGGTTTATACTTTAATTTCTTTTAAATCTTCCAATTTTCTTGCATAATCTGTACATCTAAAGAGAACAGGAAGAATGTGGCCAGAGCATCTATAAATTTTCTATGAAAACAATCTATGAAATTTCCAGCCTGACGGTCCTCACCAACCAATATCACATGCCATCTCTATGAGAACTTACATCCTGGCTTTTTTTCCCTACTTAATTGTGCTGCTTCCACCTCTTCTGCTACAGCTACAAATCATTTGCTTTCATTGATGAGTAAGGTGTTGCCAAAGTGTTCACCTATTATCCTGCCATGTCCTCAGCCTCCAGGTAAAGAACCCTTTTGTTCTCCATTAACCACAACCTTAATTTTAGTAGCATTTTATGACAACTTATAAAACAATCTCTGGATTCCATCTTATATAACCTAATCTAACCAAAAAAATTTGTACAGATCCACACACAGGTCACATTTCCATAATCACACCAAGCCACTTTCGTCGAATAAGTAACTTGACACAATGCCTTATTATTTGTCAACAATTGAACAGTATGAAAAAATATGCAAGTTTGTGATACTGAATTGCATATTGAGAACTAGCTGGTACAGTGGGCTGGGAAAATTACCCTTTCATTTTGAGAGTTTGAGAAAGTCTGTCCATCATTTTGAAAGTGTAATTGTATCTAAAATACATATAAATATGCACATAAAAATGTTATTCATTTGAGTTTGGATTTTGAATCAGTGCAATGTCATTTTGGTCTGTGTATATGAGACGCATTTCTGATGCGCATGTGTATATAATTACTGGAGTGATAAATGAGAATTTCTTTGCATTGCACAATCAATATAGAAAATCTGGGTTTTCATTTTGCTTAGGAGGAAAACCCAGTTGCAAAAGCTTCTGATTTCAGTTTCCAGAAGTTCTGGTTGGAGTTAGATGAAGGACACAGCTTCTCCTGATGAAAGGAGATAGTTAAGAACAATTAGAAAGTGGGCTAACTTCAGTGTAAGAGGTTTTAAGATTTAAAATACCAGACCAGAAGTGGTTGGTTAGAAACCTGAAGCTGGGAAAGTCCAAGCTCAGTAGTGTGACTAATCAAGAAATAGGCTGTCAAAATGCTCAAGACTAAGAATTGAAAGAAACTAATAATCAAACCTGTAGATATAATTGACAAAGGTACCCTCTCCAGTCTTCAAGTATGATAAACTGAGGCATTGGGACATATGGCTTTTATTTCCACTGTTTCAAAATCTTTCAATTGTTTTGCATATAAATAGTTTGGTTTATTCTATTTGATCTTCATATCTTTTGCATAATAAACTTCTGATTTATTGTTGAAACTAAATTTGCTGCATTGTGTGCTTGTATTTTAGTGAAAGATATCCTTGCCAAAGCAAAACAAAAAAAAAGAGCAAAAAACAAAATGGTCTGGTCAAGCTAGATTTCAGTCTAGGAATTGATATGTCCACTAATAATGGCCAGGATCATAACATAATTCTTTAGTAAAGATCTGACCTAGCTTCCAATAAGAACAGGCAGAGCACAAATGATTACCTCAATGACGACCTCAAAGCTTGCTGATAAAGTAAATGGAAACAAAAATCACATGGGGGTGTAGCAGGAATGTGCACGTTGCTGAAGTAGGACAAAGAATGCTCTAGCTGCAGCAGATACGGGTGTGCTCCATTATCTAGAATTCAAATCTTTCAATTGAGTACAGAATTCAATCAAAAATTATATAAATAAACTGTAACTGAACACTCACCAATGTCACTGATATGCTAGCAAGGAGAGGTCAAATGGCCTGTTGTGTAGTCTTAAATGACAAATGACCAAAGGCATTCACATTGTTCGATTTAAAGGATGATAACGTGGTATCATACATACACACATTCTGAAGAAGGGTCACCAGACCCAAAACGTTAACTCTGATTTTTCTTCACAGACGGTGCCAGACCAGCTGAGCTTTTCCAGCAACTTCTGTCCTTGTTCCTGATTCACAGCATCTGCAGCTAAGTGGTTTTGTATTTGCATTACAAGAAACATAATTTACAAAGGGTCTAAGGGATGTGCATGGGTCTCAATCTACACTTGAAGGAAGTTTTTGTAATATTTTGATATTAACTGATTTATTTTTTGCTATACAATTGGCCTGAAATATATTTATCCTATTTGGACAGTGAAACTTTATTACAAAATAAATTTAGATGCATCAAAATTTCTGCATCTTTCTCCCTTGTAATTTCGCTCACTGCTCTCAAAGACATCATATCATGCAGTGGCATGATGGCACAAACTGAATTTTTCATCCTTCCCACTAGATTGGCCTGTCTGCCTGTTCCCATTAGCCCACTGACTTCATAATCACAATTTCCTATATCAGTTTATCACAGAAATGTTATTACACAGGAACCCAGGTGTCCTGGCCCAGAGGTGTTAAAGAAGGGGTTGCATAAAACCCACACAGCAATAGATTACTGCCAGCTGCTCTGATGCAGAGAGCTGCAGATAATAGACAAGTCAGAATTCAAAGTAAACATGTTGTTATACTGCAAATGACTAGCCCTTACTTGCATTCTGACAAATACAGCTACGGGCAATTCGTTAAAAGCCACGGCAACGTTCCAAAAATTACTTCAACCTTCCTCATCTTTAAATGCTTGTCTCAAACTCACATTATGCTTTGTTTCAACATTTTTATTTTGAAAATTACAAATCGAGTTAAAATAATAGCGCTTGCAGCAAAAAGGAGGCGATTCCGTCCGTTATGCGTGCTGGTTCTCTGAAAAAGTGTCAATCAACACGTTGGGGGGGGCGGGGGTAAGGGGAGAAGTATCTTTTGCTTCCACGCCCGACAAAAGTAATTTCTAAAATAGGACGAAAATGTAAAGCTACAAAAACAGAACAATTTTAATTCAGAAGGAGGTTAGAATCGGGAATTGGACAAGTTGGAACAGGAGCGTTCATCCTTCAAATTACCTCTTAGCAAAGAAAGCGCGTGAGTGGGTTGAGTTCAGACAATTTCACAACAAGTCTTGAAATTGGATCTCCCTGATTGAACATCAGTTCCGCGGGGCTGTGTTGGCTAAGACGCCAAGTACCCAGAATACCCACGGAGTTACCTGCGATCCGATTCAAAGTGACCCAGTAATGTTCATCCGGGCTGTAAGTGTCCCTCGACCACTGCAGCAAGTCCTTCGCCCGCACGTCCCGCAGCACAAAACCCACAAAGTCACGGGTGAGGACGTAGTAAGCGGAGCCGAAGTAGAGCTTCAGGCCGTGGGGGACGCCGTCCGCCTTCTTGGCCGGGGTCTGGATCACGTAGGACTGCCCGGGGGCGACGTACTCCCGGTGGACGTGGCTGGTCCTCAGCTTCACGTGCTCGGGCTGTGGGACCCCCGGCGTGATGTTCTTGCTCTTGCGCTGGCTCTTGAGGAACCGTACCAGCTCCCGGTTGGTTTTCAGCGGGTAGTCCTGGCCACACAGGTTGATCACGTACTTCCAGCTGACCGGGGACTCCACCAGCTCCCGCATGCAGTTGATGTCCGCCTGCAGCCGGGAGAAGCCGCCGTACACCACCGTCTCGCTGCGGGACGCGAGGAACACGTTGCGGAAGCAGGAGGCCAGCTCCTGCACCCGGCGCCTGAACTCCGCCGACGTCTTGTTGTCCACGTGGATGCAGTAGATGTTCTGCGGGGCGTAGATGGCCCTGAAGAGCCACAGCAGGGTGTCCAGGTCCTTGTGCACAGTCAGGATGTAGGCCAGGGGGAAATCCGCCTCCTCCTGCGACAGGGTCCGGGTGATGTACGAGTGGGCAGCCAGCAGGCGGGTGCAGTTGAGGGGGCTCTGGTCCCTGGCCTGGGGCCGGTGTAGCTGCTCACACCGAGCCCCGATCCCCACGGCGGCCGCCTTGCCCTGGAAGAGCGCGGTGCACAGCTCGTCCGGGTAGTCCCCGCAATCAGCTCGCTCCAGGCTCCAGGCCTGGGGCACGGGCCGCCTGACCTTGCCGGTGATGTAGATACAGAGGCAGACGGCGGCGCTTACCGAGGCGCACAGCAGGAAGCTCCATTTCGCCGCATTCATTGGCCTCGCTGCGTGAGCCACTCCGAGACCCAGCAGCAACCTGTACCATGGTCCGCACTAGCCCCGACCACCCTGCATTGGCTGTCTCTTTCCCGGGTCCCCTTCCGTATCCCGGCTCCACCCAACATTGTGTTTCACAAAAAAAAGGGGCAGGGACTGTCTCCGAGCTCAATGCGGAGAAGCGTGAGAACGTGCCGTGTGTGAGGGGAAGTCGGTGGAAAAATGTCAACACCGCACTGGCCACGGCTGACTATTTCCAGCATCTACCACCACCCCCCCCCCCCCTACTTTTTGACAAAAAAAACCCAGAAATTGCTGGGGAGAAGAGAACATTCTCTGCGGAACAAAAACAGAAGTTATCGGGAAAGCTCAGCAATTCTGGCAGCATCTGTGAAGAAAAAAAATCATAAGACTTAACACAAGGTGTGGGGTTCGATGAACACAGCAGGCCAAGCAGTATCAGAAGAGCAGAAAGGCTGACGTTTCGGGTCTGGACCCTTCTTCAGAAAAAAAAAATGAGACTTAACGCAGTTCTTTCGGTTTTTATAAAATTTTCTGCGGGTCTGGCAGTATCTGTGCAGAGAAAGCAGGGTTAACATTTCGGGTTCAGTGAACCTTCTGCAGAACCCCCTTTTGAATTAGTCTAGCTTGATGTTCTGCAGTTTGACTGATATATTGGATAAAGGCCAGCACCATAAAGCTAATACCCAGATCAAACCATGCTGCCTCTCTGAGGTTACCGTGTAGACGCGGAATGTTATGAAGTGAGATAAACTTTCAAAGAGCGCTACCTTCTTGCAAGAATGAATACAAGGAAAGATCAGTAAATTCTGTAATGACCCTTATTTACAAGGGTTTATTGTTTTCTCCACCTCACAACAAAACTCCAGGAGATCATGTCTGATACTACTTTTCAAAAACAAATTCCTCCCCCGGGTTATGGGAAGGTGGGTGTTATCGCCCAAAACGGTGGACGATGTTCCTTAGGGAAGGAAACTGCAATCCTTACTTGGTCTGGCCTACATGTTTCTCCAGACCCACAGCAATTTGGTTGCCTCTGAACTGCCCTCTGGGCAATTAGGAATGGGCATTAAATGGTGGCCTACTCAGCAACACCCTCATTCTGGTGAAGGGTCAGTGCTGTCAAGAGGTACTTGTTCAGCAACAACCTACTCACTGGCCAGAATCTTGCATTCAGCAGGACTACACTGCCCGGGAATTCGCGGGGGAGGAAGACTGGGAGGGGGG